CCATTTCTCTTATATTTCAAATAGGATTTTTTCTGCTTACATGTATATATAAAAAAAGAAGATGTGGTATGATTGCCAATGAGACAACTCTCCACAAGAGACTAAATGACACAGAAATTAACAGCTATAGATAACTGTACGGCCCTCAACGATGAGCTAAGCCCAAACCACATAGTCAGCTATAAAAGGCCCAGAAATCACAAATGTAAAACAATTCAAACGAAAAGACTTAACAACCATATAGCTATTTTTAGCATATTTCACATGGATATGTTTCGTGATTATCTAATTTTTCGGGTTATTTCATACAACAGACAGTTCTATTTTGAAATTCTCGTGAATTATATTCGGCTTACTTCTTTTCTTTGAAGTCTATTAAATGAATTGTCCGAAAAATGAGTTGGTTCACAGTATGCTCCTCTTCTAGTCTTGGTCATCCCCCTGTAGCAGTCTCACTAATCCTTTATTCCCCGCCCCAGCTGAGTCAAAGGTAGAGACTTCAAAACTGGTATTGCTATATTCCTTCACTACCCAAAAAAAACTAAAGAGAAAGAGCGAAGACAAGTTGACTTTGAAGAAAAACTAGATCTTTTTCTTAAGGAGTCTTTATCTTATCTAGTAATTGTTCTAAAAATGACTCAGCATATGTATAAAAGGATATGTGGGATAATTAAAGTCAATGAGACAGCATTTACTTACCAACAACAAAATATGGCCGAGACACATAATAACTAGGTAAACATACTGTCTTCAACAATAAAATGCTGTTCTAGAATACAAATATGGAGATGTGATATGATTGCCAATAGACAAACTCTTCATCAAGACCAAATGACAGAGATTGATACAGGGTCTTTAACAATGGAGCAATGACCTAATATTTCATATTCAAATCTCATTTACATATAAACATCAGATGTGGTATGATTGCCATTGGGACAAGTATGCTGCTGGTTTTAGATATCCACCCTATCGTTCATTTTTACATATGAATTAGACTTGATTCAGGGGCTTCTTGGGGAAGACAGAGGAACTTGCATTGTACTTTACTTCACATTTCCCAATTTAAGCATTTCTTTTTTCAAAGTTTGTTGACATTATTGATTTGATCCTTCTGTAATTCCTACATAACTAGTTATAAGGAGCATCCGATACAGGAACTGGCTCATTTCTTGACCTTAGCCTGGGGGTTGTTGGTGAGGTCAGTTGGGAACTATAAAAAATTACAACAAAGGAGACTTCTTTTTTCTGATTGTGAAACTTCTATTACTATGTAGCATGAATCCAGGTATACTTGTATATGTGGATTTTGTATCACCATGTTGATTATTCCACTCTTTGCATGTGCTGTACGACATTTTTCTTTAATAAATGTTTGCTGTTTTTAAAGGATATCACTGAACCAAGGGTTCTTAATGATAAAAGTTGTAAACATAATTACAAGAATGTGTGGTATGATTGCCAATGAGACAACTCTCCACAAGAGACCAAAATGAATAAAGATAACAACAGTATACTGCTGTTCAAAAGTCATAAATCGATTGAGAGAAAAATTAACAAATCTGGGTAACAAACTAATACCGAGGGAAACACATCAACTATAAGAGGAAAACAACAGAAACACTGAAGTGCAACAAAAATAAACGCTAATGGAACATGCATAGAAACGACAAAAATGACATAGCAATTAACAACTATAAGTTGCCGTACACCTTCAATAATAAGCAAAAGCACCAACCCTCCCTTTACTTTTGACATTTGATATTTTTATTATCTAGAGCTCTGTTAAAAAAAAATATGAAAAAAATTTTAAAAAATAGAATACCAAAAAATACACATGAACTATTAATGTTTCAATATGTTTATGAAATTAAAAACATCTGATATTTTGATTATCCAAAGCTCTGTAAAAAAAAAATGTAAAATAAAGATAAAATGATTAATATGAAAACAAAACAGATTTCTAGATAATATACATTAAGGTGGTTTTATAAATGGGCATATTTTAAATTTATGAATAATTATCCGAAAATGTGAAATTTTTCAACAATGAGCATATAGTCGGCTATGAAAGGCCCTGAAAATACACCTATAAAACAATTAAAACGACAAAGCAAAATAATGAACGAAAAACAAACATGATATATAGCATGAACAAATGACAATCGCTGAATTGCAGGTTCCTGACGTGGGACAACCATATACAGAACAAGGGGTTTGGGGTTAAACTAGTTTGAATGTTCCAGTACCCTCCCTCCCCTTACCTGAGACAGTTGTGTAACAGTACAACATAACAAACTATTAAAATCAGTTGAAGATGGCTAATAACTCATCAGATTGATACAAAGCAGAAATTCATCTAACAAATACACAAAACTGACCGGAAGGAGAAGGGTACTTATACATTCTCGCAACAACAACAAAAACACTACCGTGTACAGATCTGATAAGAGTACAAGCTTTAAGTAGTTGCTGACAGTTAGTTCAAAGAAAATAACAACTAATAAAAAAATTATGCATCTAAGACTAAAATATCAATCAGTACACATCCACACCAATGGATTTAGTGTAAAGACATCATTAACAGTTGGAGAAAACCATGACCTTGTTGTGCATGTTCATTTCTTTGTATGATTTAATTATTCATGATTAACCAAAATTCTAGAAATAAAAAATTATTCAAATATTAAATCCTTATAATGGTGTATGATAGATACAAATATAAGTTTGTAAATTATTTAGAAATTAAACAGCATCTAAGACAAAAGTTTGATCTTTTTTTAATTTCTGTATTTTACTGATAAATAGACTCTCTCTATTTTTAAATTCTATATTACACTGACAGCAGCTATAGCAGGCAATACATTAGGTTCCACACAACCCCTTATGAAATTTTTAATCTTTGACATGAAATCAAACCACTAATTCAAATGGTACTATACCATTGCATGTCTTTGTCTGTATTTATGTGTACATCATGTGATATGATCATCTGCAGACTTTTTTTTTATATTTATGTGTACATCATTTGATATGAACATCTGCAGACTTCAGAGGCCATATTCTCAAGATTTAATTTGATGGTGTCTAGTCTAAAATTTATACAAATGTTTTACTTTTTTGGGGAATCAAGGCATTGTTCATTGTTTCTTTTTTACTTTTTATGCGCCCGTTTATGGGACGTATTATGGTATACCGTTGACTATCTGTCTGTCCATCCTTCGTCGACATTAATTCAGAAACACTTTCACCAATTTGCATGAAACTTTGGTGAATTGTTTATATCTATTGACGTGAGCTCTCTTTCGTTTTTTTATAAATTTCGGATTTACCATACCGAGTTTTGGGGTTTTATTCATTAAAACAGGGGGGATTTTCCAGCTTTTTGGACAATAACTCAAAAACAATTTCACCAATTTGCATGAAACTTGTGAATTGTTTATATCTATTGACGTGAGCTCCCTTTCGTTTTTTATAAATTTCCGATTTACTGTTTCCGAGTTTTGGGGTTTTATTCATTAAAAAAGGGGAGATTTTCCAGTTTTCGGACAATAACTCAAAAACATTTTCATCAATTTGCAAGAAACTTTTATGAATTGTTAATTTCTGTCGACATGAGCTCCCTTTTGATTTTTATAAATTTTAGACTACACATTTCCAATTCATGGGGTTTTATTCATTACAAAAAGGGGGATTTTCCAGTTTTCGGACAATAACTCAAAAATGCTTTCAGCATTTTTTATGAAACTTTGGTAAATTGTTTATATCTATTTTTGTAAGCTCGCTTTTGATTTTTATAAGTTTTCGAATTTAGGTTTCTGAGTTATAAGATTTTATTTGTTTATAGTCCGACAACAGATTTACTAAGCATTGCGCAACAGCACAGTGTATTGCACAACAGCAAGAAATCTTTAATTGGATATAAATTCAATTCATATAACCAATTTTAAATTCTTGACTACATTTATTCAGAAACCTATAATATGTCAAATATTTAATTACAATCCAAATTCAGACCTGTATCAAGCTTGAATATTGTGTCCATTTTTGCCCCAACTGTTCAGGGTTAGACCTCTACGGGCGTATCCAGCTGTGCTCAGCGAAGCAGTTTATTGGAAATTGTATATATGTTTTAGAATAGTTTAATACAAATATGAGAATTTGGATCAGATTCTTGAACCAGAATTTGACAGCTAATGTTTGGTTAAAACCCAATGATTCCAATTCACTATTCATAGACTTTCCGTTTGCATATAGCACTAATCCAGCTGCATACATAAAAGTAACAACATATCTTCCAGGTTAAACTTGAATAAGTACACCTATGGACTTCATTTTGGCGGAACATGTATTCTAAAATAAATAGAACATATTTTCATCCCATAATACAGGAGGTGAGGGTTGGGGTCATTTCTGTTGGAATTTTTGTATTGTTGATCGAACTCGGTCAACAAAACTGTTATTTAAGGAAATATGAATATTTTTAAACCAAAAATAATCAGAAAACGTTTGAGAAATTCATTTTAAAATTACTTCAACAAAATCTCTCTAGACAGTGATATTTGAGGCTAAAGTATTGGAAAGTCAAGAACCCAATACAATCATTTAAGAACTTTAAACCAAAAATATAGTAAAACCTTGACCGAGATTCAGAACTATGCACTATGGTATAGTTTCTATGTGTAGGGACAGTGCCACTCTGCACGTTAAAGAACCCTTGCCACAAGTCTTTGAGGGGTCAGTAGGTGGCCTGTTGCAAGGCTTAATTTCTGTCCAACATATCCTCCTCTCAGTTGGCAGTCAAAATTTCCTTTCCCTTCATCATCGGCCCACTTTATAGAACCTACAAATTGATTTGTTATGGAATGAAGAGATGCGAGACAACTATCCTACAGAGACCAAATGAAGTTGCATGTTACTGTATGGACTTCAACAATGAGAAAATCAACTAACATTAAAATTTTGCAATATTCTGAATTAGAATGACTTTGTTAATACCTCTAACCTTTAACATCTGATATTTTTATTATCTAGAGCTCTGTAAAAAAATATATCAAAAAAAATTAAAAAAAAAGAAAATACCAAAAAATAATATATGAAAACAAAATCGTTTGTAAACAGAGTTCTAGATAATAAACATTGAGGGTGGTGTAAAAGGTGGGATTAAGGTAATATTTTTTATGACCCCCACCTTAAAGTCTTCTTATGTTATCATGTTTAAAACAAAAATTGGAATGGCAATTTAAAAAGTATAGTTCCTATGTGTAGGGACAGTGCCACTATGTACGTTAAAGAACCCTTGCCACAAGTCTTTGAGGGGTCAGTAGGTGGCCAGTTGCAAGGCTTAATTTCTGCCCAACATATCCTCCTCTCAGTTGGCAGTCAAAATTTCCCTACCTTCATCATCGGCCCACTTTATAGAACCTACAAATTGATTGGTTATCAAATGAAGAGACGTGAGACAACTGTCCTACAGAGACTAAATGATGTTGATGTAAAATAGGTTACTCTATGGACTTCAACAATGAGAAAATCAACCAACATTAAAATTTTGCAATATTCTGAATAAGAATGACTTTGTTTATACCTCAAACTTTAACATCTGATATTTTTATTATCTAGAGCTCTGTAAAAAAAAATATCAAAAAAATATAAAAAAAGAAAATACCAAAAAATAATATATGAAAACAAAATCGTTTGTAAACAGAGTTCTAGATAATAAACATTGAGGGTGGTGTAAAAGGTGGGATTATTGTAATATTTTTTATGACCCCCACCTTAAAGTCTTCTAAAGTTATCATTTTTAAAACAAACAAAAATTGGAATGGCAATTTAAAAAGTATATAGTTCCTATGTGTAGGGACAGTGCCACTCTGCACGTTAAAGAACCCTTGCCACAAGTCTTTAAGGGGTCAGTAGGTGGCATGTTGCAAGGCTTAATTTCTGTCCAACATATCCTCTTAGTTGGCAGTCAAAATTTCCCCTACCTTCATCATCGGCCCACTTTATAGAACCTACAAATTGATTTGTTATGAAATGAAGAGATGCGAGACAACTATCCTACAGAGACCAAATGAAATTGCATGTTACTGTATGGACTTCAACAATGAGAAAATCAACTAACATTAAAATTTTGCAATATTCTGAATTAGAATGACTTTGTTAATACCTCTAACCTTTAACATCTGATATTTTTATTATCTAGAGCTCTGTAAAAAAAATATAAAAAAAAATATAAAAAAAGAAAATACCAAAAAATAATATATGAAAACAAAATCGTTTGTAAACAGAGTTCTAGATAATAAACATTAAGGGTGGTGTAAAAGGTGGGATTATTGTAATATTTTTTATGACCCCCACCTTAAAGTCTTCTTATGTTATCATGTTTAAAACGAACAAAAATTGCAATGGCAATTTAAAAAGTATAGTTCCTATGTGTAGGGACAGTGCCACTATGTACGTTAAAGAACCGTTGCCACAAGTCTTTGAGGGGTCAGTAGGTGGCCAGTTGCAAGGCTTAATTTCTGCCCAACATATCCTCCTCTCAGTTGGCAGTCAAAATTTCTCTACCTTCATCATCGGCTCACTTTATAGAACCTACAAATTGATTGGTTATGAAATGACGAGATGTGAGACAACTGTCCTACAGAGACTAAATGATGTTGATGTAAAATAGGTTACTGTATGGACTTTAACAATGAGAAAATCAACCAACATTAAAATTTTGCAATATTCTGAATTAGAATGACTTTGTTTATACCTCTAACCTTTAACATCTGATATTTTTATTATCTAGAGCTCTGTAAAAAAAAATATCAAAAAAATATAAAAAAAGAAAATACCAAAAAATAATATATGAAAACAAAATCGTTTGTAAACAGAGTTCTAGATAATAAACATTGAGGGTGGTGTAAAAGGTGGGATTATTGTAATATTTTTTATGACCCCCACCTTAAAGTCTTCTAAAGTTATCATTTTTAAAACAAACAAAAATTGGAATGGCAATTTAAAAAGTATATAGTTCCTATGTGTAGGGGACAGTGCCACTCTGCACGTTAAAGAACCCTTGCCACAAGTCTTTAAGGGGTCAGTAGGTGGCCTGTTGCAAGGCTTAATTTCTGTCCAACATATCCTCCTCTCAGTTGGCAGTCAAAATTTCCCCTACCTTCATCATCGGCCCACTTTATAGAACCTACAAATTGATTTGTTATGAAATGAAGAGATGCGAGACAACTATCCTACAGAGACCAAATGAAATTGCATGTTACTGTATGGACTTCAACAATGAGAAAATCAACTAACATTGAAATTTTGCAATATTCTGAATTAGAATGACTTTGTTAATACCTCTAATCTTTAACATCTGATATTTTTATTATCTAGAGCTCTGTAAAAAAAATATCAAAAAAAATATCAAAAAAGAAAATACCAAAAAATAATATATGAAAACAAAATCGTTTGTAAACAGAGTTCTAGATAAAAAACATTGAGGGTGGTGTAAAAGGTGGGATTATTGTAATATTTTTTATGACCCCCACCTTAAAGTCTTCTTATGTTATCATGTTTAAAACAAACAAAAATTGGAATGGCAATTTAAAAAGTATAGTTCCTATGTGTAGGGACAGTGCCACTATGTACGTTAAAGAACCCTTGCCACAAGTCTTTGAGGGGTCAGTAGGTGGCCAGTTGCAAGGCTTAATTTCTGCCCAACATATCCTCCTCTCAGTTGGCAGTCAAAATTTCCCTACCTTCATCATCGGCTCACTTTATAGAACCTACAAATTGATTGGTTATCAAATGAAGAGACCTGAGACAACTGTCCTACAGAGACTAAATGATGTTGATGTAAAATAGGTTACTCTATGGACTTCAACAATGAGAAAATCAACCAACATTAAAATTTTGCAATATTCTGAATTAGAATGACTTTGTTTATACCTCTAATCTTTAACATCTGATATTTTTATTATCTAGAGCTCTGTAAAAAAAAATATCAAAAAAATATCAAAAAAGAAAATACCAAAAAATAATATATGAAAACAAAATCATTTGTAAACAGAGTTCTAGATAATAAACATTGAGGGTGGTGTAAAAGGTGGGATTATTGTAATATTTTTGTCGAGCCTTCGACTTTTGTCGAAAAAGCGAGACATAGCGATCCTACATTCCGTCGTCGTCGGCGGTGGCGTCCACAAATATTCACTCTGTGGTTAAAGTTTTTGAAATTTTAATAACTTTCTTAAACTATTCTGGATTTCTACCAAACTTGGACAGAAGCTTGTTTATGATCATAAGATAATATTCAAAAGTAAATTTTGTAAAAAAAAAATTCCATTTTTTCCGTATTTTACTTATAAATGGACTTAGTTTTTCTTCCAGTTAACATTACATAACAGTCTGCAGTTTAAGTTTTTAAAACATTTATTAGATTCATAAACTATCCTGGATTTTTACCAAACTTGGACAGAAGCTACTTACAATCAAAAGATAGTATAGAGAGGAATATTTTTATTAATTTTTTTCCTCAATTTTGTTGATCCTGTGATTAACAGCAAAAGTAGGCGAGACACTGGGTTCCGCGGAACCCTTACGAATTTTTTATGACCCCCGCCTTAAAGTCTTCTAAAGTTATCATTTTTAAAACAAACAAAAATTGGAATGGCAATTTAAAAAGTATATAGTTCCTATGTGTAGGGACAGTGCCACTCTGCAAGTTAAAGAACCCTTGCCACAAGTCTTTAAGGGGTCAGTAGGTGGCATGTTGCAAGGCTTAATTTCTGTCCAACATATCCTCCTCTCAGTTGGCAGTCAAAATTTCCCTTACCTTCATCATCGGCCCACTTTATAGAACCTACAAATTGATAGGTTATGGAATGAAGAGATGCGAGACAACTATCCTACAGAGACCAAATGAAATTGCATGTTACTGTATGGACTTCAACAATGAGAAAATCAACTAACATTAAAATTTTGCAATATTCTGAATTAGAAAGACTTTGTTAATACCTCTAATCTTTAACATCTGATATTTTGTATTATCTAGAGCTCTGTAAAAAAAATATCAAAAAAAATATAAAAAAAGAAAATACCAAAAAATAATATATGAAAACAAAATCGTTTGTAAACAGAGTTCTAGATAATAAACATTGAGGGTGGTGTAAAAGGTGGGATTATTGTAATATTTTTTATGACCCCCACCTTAAAGTCTTCTTATGTTATCATGTTTAAAACAAACAAAAATTGCAATGGCAATTTAAAAAGTATAGTTCCTATGTGTAGGGACAGTGCCACTATGTACGTTAAAGAACCCTTGCCACAAGTCTTTGAGGGGTCAGTAGGTGGCCTGTTGCAAGGCTTAATTTCTGCCCAACATATCCTCCTCTCAGTTGGCAGTCAAAATTTCCCTACCTTCATCATCGGCTCACTTTATAGAACCTACAAATTGATTGGTTATCAAATGAAGAGATGTGAGACAACTGTCCTACAGAGACTAAATGATGTTGATGTAAATTACCGGTAGGTTACTGTATGGACTTCAACAATGAGAAATTCAACCAACATTAAAATTTTGCAATATTCTGAATTAGAATGACTTTGTTTATACCTCTAACCTTTAACATCTGATATTTTTATTATCTAGAGCTCTGTAAAAAAAAATATCAAAAAAATATAAAAAAAGAAAATACCAAAAAATAATATATGAAAACAAAATCGTTTGTAAACAGAGTTCTAGATAATAAACATTGAGGGTGGTGTAAAAGGTGGGATTATTGTAATATTTTTTATGACCCCCGCCTAAAAGTCTTCTAAAGTTATCATTTTTAAAACAAACAAAAATTGGAATGGCAATTTAAAAAGTATATAGTTCCTATGTGTAGGGACAGTGCCACTCTGCACGTTAAAGAACCCTTGCCACAAGTCTTTAAGGGGTCAGTAGGTGGCATGTTGCAAGGCTTAATTTCTGCCCAACATATCCTCCTCTCAGTTGGCAGTCAAAATTTCCCTTACCTTCATCATCGGCCCACTTTATAGAACCTACAAATTGATAGGTTATGGAATGAAGAGATGCGAGACAACTATCCTACAGAGGCCAAATGAAGTTGCATGTTACTGTATGGACTTCAACAATGAGAAAATCAACTAACATTAAAATTTTGCAATCTTCTGAATTAGAATGACTTTGTTAATACCTCTAACCTTTAACATCTGATATTTTTATTATCTAGAGCTCTGTAAAAAAAATATCAAAAAAAATATAAAAAAAGAAAATACCAAAAAATAATATATGAAAACAAAATCATTTGTAAACAGAGTTCTAGATAATAAACATTGAGGGTGGTGTAAAAGGTGGGATTATTGTAATATTTTTTATGACCCCCACCTTAAAGTCTTCTTATGTTATCATGTTTAAAACAAACAAAAATTGGAATGGCAATTTAAAAAGTATAGTTCCTATGTGTAGGGACAGTGCCACTATGTACGTTAAAGAACCGTTGCCACAAGTCTTTGAGGGGTCAGTAGGTGGCCTGTTACAAGGCTTAATTTCTGCCCAACATATCCTCCTCTCAGTTGGCAGTCAAAATTTCCCTTACCTTCATCATCGGCCCACTTTATAGAACCTACAAATTGATTGGTTATGAAATGAAAAGATGTGAGACAACTGTCCTACAGAGACTAAATGATGTTGATGTAAAATAGGTTACTGTATGGACTTCAACAATGAGAAAATCAACCAACATTAAAATTTTGCAATATTCTGAATTAGAATGACTTTGTTTATACCTCTAACCTTTAACATCTGATATTTTTATTATCTAGAGCTCTGTGAAAAAAAAATACCAAAAAAAATATAAAAAAAGAAAATACCAAAAAATGATATATGAAAACAAAATTGTTTGTAAACAGAGTTCTAGATAATAAACATTGAGGGTGGTGTAAAAGGTAGGATTATTGTAATATTTTTATGACCCCCACTTTAAAGTCTTCTTATGTTATCATGTTTAAAACAAACAAAAATTGGAATGGCAATTTAAAAAGTCTAGTTCCTATGTGTAGGGACATTGCCACTATGTACGTTAAAGAACCCTTGCCACAAGTCTTTAAGGGGTCAGTAGGTGGCCTGTTGCAAGGCTTAATTTCTGTCCACCATATCTGCCTCTCAGTTGGCAGTCAAAATTTCCCTTACCTTCATCATCGGCCCACTTTATAGAACCTACAAATTGATAGGTTATGGAATGAAGAGATGCGAGACAACTATCCTACAGAGACCAAATGAAGTTGCATGTTACTGTATGGACTTCAACAATGAGAAAATCAACTAACATTAAAATTTTGCAATATTCTGAATTAGAATGACTTTGTTTATACCTCTAACCTTTGATATTTTTATTATCTAGAGCTCTGTAAAAAAAAATATCAAAAAAATATAAAAAAAGAAAATACCAAAAAATAATATATGAAAACAAAATCGTTTGTAAACAGAGTTCTAGATAATAAACATTGAGGGTGGTGTAAAAGGTGGGATTATTGTAATATTTTTTATGACCCCCGCCTTAAAGTCTTCTAAAGTTATCATTTTTAAAACAAACAAAAATTGGAATGGCAATTTAAAAAGTATATAGTTCCTATGTGTAGGGACAGTGCCACTCTGCACGTTAAAGAACCCTTGCCACAAGTCTTTTAAGGGGTCAGTAGGTGGCATGTTGCAAGGCTTAATTTCTGTCCAACATATGCTCCTCTCAGTTGGCAGTCAAAATTTCCCTTACCTTCATCATCGGCCCACTTTATAGAACCTACAAATTGATTTGTTATGGAATGAAGAGATGAAAGAGAACTATCCTACAGAGACCAAATGAAGTTGCATGTTACTGTATGGACTTCAACAATGAGAAAATCAACTAACATTAAAATTTTGCAATATTCTGAATTAGAATGACTTTGTTAATACCTCTAACCTTTAACATCTGATATTTTTATTATCTAGAGCTCTGTAAAAAAAATATCAAAAAAAATATCAAAAAAGAAAATACCAAAAAATAATATATGAAAACAAAATTGTTTGTAAACAGAGTTCTAGATAATAAACATTGAGGGTGGTGTAAAAGGTGGGATTATTGTAATATTTTTTATGACCCCCACCTTAAAGTCTTCTTATGTTATCATGTTTAAAACAAACAAAAATTGGAATGACAATTTAAAAAGTATAGTTCCTATGTGTAGGGACAGTGCCACTATGTACGTTAAAGAACCCTTGCCACAAGTCTTTGAGGGGTCAGTAGGTGGCCAGTTGCAAGGCTTAATTTCTGCCCAACATATCCTCCTCTCAGTTGGCAGTCAAAATTTCCCTACCTTCATCATCGGCTCACTTTATAGAACCTACAAATTGATTGGTTATCAAATGAAGAGATGTGAGACAACTGTCCTACAGAGACTAAATGATGTTGATGTAAATTACCGGTAGGTTACTGTATGGACTTCAACAATGAGAAATTCAACCAACATTAAAATTTTGCAATATTCTGAATTAGAATGACTTTGTTTATACCTCTAACCTTTAACATCTGATATTTTTATTATCTAGAGCTCTGTAAAAAAAAATATCAAAAAAATATAAAAAAAGAAAATACCAAAAAATAATATATGAAAACAAAATCGTTTGTAAACAGAGTTCTAGATAATAAACATTGAGGGTGGTGTAAAAGGTGGGATTATTGTAATATTTTTTATGACCCCCGCCTTAAAGTCTTCTAAAGTTATCATTTTTAAAACAAACAAAAATTGGAATGGCAATTTAAAAAGTATATAGTTCCTATGTGTAGGGACAGTGCCACTCTGCACATTAAAGAACCCTTGCCACAAGTCTTTTAAGGGGTCAGTAGGTGGCATGTTGCAAGGCTTAATTTCTGTCCAACATATGCTCCTCTCAGTTGGCAGTCAAAATTTCCCTTACCTTCATCATCGGCCCACTTTATAGAACCTACAAATTGATTTGTTATGGAATGAAGAGATGAAAGAGAACTATCCTACAGAGACCAAATGAAGTTGCATGTTACTGTATGGACTTCAACAATGAGAAAATCAACTAACATTAAAATTTTGCAATATTCTGAATTAGAATGACTTTGTTAATACCTCTAACCTTTAACATCTGATATTTTTATTATCTAGAGCTCTGTAAAAAAAATATCAAAAAAAATATCAAAAAAGAAAATACCAAAAAATAATATATGAAAACAAAATTGTTTGTAAACAGAGTTCTAGATAATAAACATTGAGGGTGGTGTAAAAGGTGGGATTATTGTAATATTTTTTATGACCCCCACCTTAAAGTCTTCTTATGTTATCATGTTTAAAACAAACAAAAATTGGAATGACAATTTAAAAAGTATAGTTCCTATGTGTAGGGACAGTGCCACTATGTACGTTAAAGAACCCTTGCCACAAGTCTTTGAGGGGTCAGTAGGTGGCCAGTTGCAAGGCTTAATTTCTGCCCAACATATCCTCCTCTCAGTTGGCAGTCAAAATTTCCCTACCTTCATCATCGGCTCACTTTATAGAACCTACAAATTGATTGGTTATCAAATGAAGAGATGTGAGACAACTGTCCTACAGAGACTAAATGATGTTGATGTAAATTACCGGTAGGTTACTGTATGGACTTCAACAATGAGAAATTCAACCAACATTAAAATTTTGCAATATTCTGAATTAGAATGACTTTGTTTATACCTCTAACCTTTAACATCTGATATTTTTATTATCTAGAGCTCTGTAAAAAAAAATATCAAAAAAATATAAAAAAAGAAAATACCAAAAAATAATATATGAAAACAAAATCGTTTGTAAACAGAGTTCTAGATAATAAACATTGAGGGTGGTGTAAAAGGTGGGATTATTGTAATATTTTTTATGACCCCCGCCTTAAAGTCTTCTAAAGTTATCATTTTTAAAACAAACAAAAATTGGAATGGCAATTTAAAAAGTATATAGTTCCTATGTGTAGGGACAGTGCCACTCTGCACGTTAAAGAACCCTTGCCACAAGTCTTTAAGGGGTCAGTAGGTGGCATGTTGCAAGGCTTAATTTCTGTCCAACATATGCTCCTCTCAGTTGGCAGTCAAAATTTCCCTTACCTTCATCATTGGCCCACTTTATAGAACCTACAAATTGATTTGTTATGGAATGAAGAGATGAAAGAGAACTATCCTACAGAGACCAAATGAAGTTGCATGTTACTGTATGGACTTCAACAATGAGAAAATCAACTAACATTAAAATTTTGCAATATTCTGAATTAGAATGACTTTGTTAATACCTCTAACCTTTAACATCTGATATTTTTATTATCTAGAGCTCTGTAAAAAAAATATCAAAAAAAATATCAAAAAAGAAAATACCAAAAAATAATATATGAAAACAAAATTGTTTGTAAACAGAGTTCTAGATAATAAACATTGAGGGTGGTGTAAAAGGTGGGATTATTGTAATATTTTTTATGACCCCCACCTTAAAGTCTTCTTATGTTATCATGTTTAAAACAAACAAAAATTGGAATGGCAATTTAAAAAGTATAGTTCCTATGTGTAGGGACAGTGCCACTATGTACGTTAAAGAACCCTTGCCACAAGTCTTTGAGGGGTCAGTAGGTGGCCAGTTGCAAGGCTTAATTTCTGCCCAACATATCCTCCTCTCAGTTGGCAGTCAAAATTTCCCTTACCTTCATCATCGGCTCACTTTATAGAACCTACAAATTGATTGGTTATCAAATGAAGAGATGTGAGACAACTGTCCTACAGAGACTAAATGATGTTGATGTAAATTACCGGTAGGTTACTGTATGGACTTCAACAATGAGAAATTCAACCAACATTAAAATTTTGCAATATTCTGAATTAGAATGACTTTGTTTATACCTCTAACCTTTAACATCTGATATTTTTATTATCTAGAGCTCTGTAAAAAAATATATCAAAAAAATATAAAAAAAGAAAATACCAAAAAATAATATATGAAAACAAAATCGTTTGTAAACAGAGTTCTAGATAATAAACATTGAGGGTGGTGTAAAAGGTGGGATTATTGTAATATTTTTTATGACCCCCGCCTTAAAGTCTTCTAAAGTTATCATTTTTAAAACAAACAAAAATTGGAATGGCAATTTAAAAAGTATATAGTTCCTATGTGTAGGGACAGTGCCACTCTGCACGTTAAAGAACCCTTGCCACAAGTCTTTAAGGGGTCAGTAGGTAGCATGTTGCAAGGCTTAATTTCTGTCCAACATATGCTCCTCTCAGTTGGCAGTCAAAATTTCCCTTACCTTCATCATCGGCCCACTTTATAGAACCTACAAATTGATAGGTTATGGAATGAAGAGATGCGAGACAACTATCCTACAGAGGCCAAATGAAGTTGCATGTTACTGTATGGACTTCAACAATGAGAAAATCAACTAACATTAAAATTTTGTAATCTTCTGAATTAGAATGACTTTGTTAATACCTCTAACCTTTAACATCTGATATTTTTATTATCTAGAGCTCTGTAAAAAAAATATCAAAAAAAATATAAAAAAAGAAAATACCAAAAAATAATATATGAAAACAAAATCATTTGTAAACAGAGTTCTAGATAATAAACATTGAGGGTGGTGTAAAAGGTGGGATTATTGTAATATTTTTTATGATCCCCACCTTAAAGTCTTCTAAAGATATCATTTTTAAAACAAAAAAAAATTGGAATGGGAATTTAAAAAGTATATAGTTCCTATGTGTAGGGACAGTGCCACTCTGCACGTTAAAGAACCCTTGCCACAAGTCTTTAAGGGGTCAGTAGGTGGCATGTTGCAAGGCTTAATTTCTGTCCAACATATGCTCCTCTCAGTTGGCAGTCAAAATTTCCCTTACCTTCATCATCGGCCCACTTTATAGAACCTACAAATTGATTTGTTATGGAATGAAGAGATGAAAGAGAACTATCCTACAGAGACCAAATGAAGTTGCATGTTACTGTATGGACTTCAACAATGAGAAAATCAACTAACATTAAAATTTTTCAATATTCTGAATTAGAATGACTTTGTTAATACCTCTAACCTTTAACATCTGATATTTTTATTATCTAGAGCTCTGTAAAAAAAAATATCAAAAAAATATATAAAAAAAGAAAATACCAAAAAATAATATATGAAAACAAAATCGTTTGTAAACAGAGTTCTAGATAATAAACATTGAGGGTGGTGTAAAAGGTGGGATTATTGTAATATTTTTTATGACCCCCGCCTTAAAGTCTTCTAAAGTTATCATTTTTAAAACAAACAAAAATTGGAATGGCAATTTAAAAAGTATATAGTTCCTATGTGTAGGGACAGTGCCACTCTGCACGTTAAAGAACCCTTGCCACAAGTCTTTAAGGGGTCAGTAGGTGGCATGTTGCAAGGCTTAATTTCTGTCCAACATATGCTCCTCTCAGTTGGCAGTCAAAATTTCCCTTACCTTCATCATCGGCCCACTTTATAGAACCTACAAATTGATAGGTTATGGAATGAAGAGATGCGAGACAACTATCCTACAGAGGCCAAATGAAGTTGCATGTTACTGTATGGACTTCAACAATGAGAAAATCAACTAACATTAAAATTTTGTAATCTTCTGAATTAGAATGACTTTGTTAATACCTCTAACCTTTAACATCTGATATTTTTATTATCTAGAGCTCTGTAAAAAAAAATATCAAAAAAAATATAAAAAAAGAAAATACCAAAAAATAATATATGAAAACAAAATCATTTGTAAACAGAGTTCTAGATAATAAACATTGAGGGTGGTGTAAAAGGTGGGATTATTGTAATATTTTTTATGACCCCCACCTTAAAGTCTTCTTATGTTATCATGTTTAAAACAAACAAAAATTGGAATGGCAATTTAAAAAGTATAGTTCCTATGTGCAGGGACAGTGCCACTATGTACGTTAAAGAACCCTTGCCACAAGTCTTTGAGGGGTCAGTAGGTGGCCAGTTGCAAGGCTTAATTTCTGCCCAACATATCCTCCTCTCAGTTGGCAGTCAAAATTTCCCTACCTTCATCATTGGCTCACTTTATAGAACCTACAAATTGATTGGTTATCAAATGAAGAGACGTGAGACAACTGTCCTACAGAGACTAAATGATGTTGATGTAAATTACCGGTAGGTTACTGTATGGACTTCAACAATGAGAAAATCAACCAACATTAAAATTTTGCAATATTCTGAATTAGAATGACTTTGTTTATACCTCTAACCTTTAACATCTGATATTTTTATTATCTAGAGCTCTGTAAAAAAAAAATATAAAAAACGAAAATACCAAAAAATAATATATGAAAACAAAATCGTTTGTAAACAGAGTTCTAGATAATAAACATTGAGGGTGGTGTAAAAGGTGGGATTATTGTAATATTTTTTATGATCCCCACCTTAAAGTCTTCTAAAGTTATCATTTTTAAAACAAACAAAAATTGGAATGGAAATTTAAAAAGTATATAGTTCCTATGTGTAGGGACAGTGCCACTCTGCATGTTAAAGAACCCTTGCCACAAGTCTTTAAGGGGTCAGTAGGTGGCCTGTTGCAAGGCTTAATTTCTGTCCAACATATGCTCCTCTCAGTTGGCAGTCAAAATTTCCTTTACCTTCATCATCGGCCCACTTTATAGAACCTACAAATTGATTTGTTATGGAATGAAGAGATGAAAGAGAACTATCCTACAGAGACCAAATGAAGTTGCATGTTTCTGTATGGACTTCAACAATGAGAAAATCAACTAACATTAAAATTTTGCAAAATTCTGATTTAGAATGACTTTGTTAATACCTCTAACCTTTAACATCTGATATTTTTATTATCTAGAGCTCTGTAAAAAAAAATATAAAAAAAGAAAATACCAAAAAATAATATATGAAAACAAAATCATTTGTAAACAGAGTTCTAGATAATAAACATTGAGGGTGGTGTAAAAGGTGGGATTATTGTAATATTTTTTATGACCCCCACCTTAAAGTCTTCTTATGTTATCATGTTTAAAACAAACAAAAATTGGAATGGCAATTTAAAAAGTATAGTTCCTATGTGCAGGGACAGTGCCACTATGTACGTTAAAGAACCCTTGCCACAAGTCTATGAGGGGTCAGTAGGTGGCCTGTTACAAGGCTTAATTTCTGCCCAACATATCCTCCTCTCAGTTGGCAGTCAAAATTTCCCTTACCTTCATCATCGGCCCACTTTGTAGAACCTACAAATTGATTGGTTATGAAATGAAGAGATGTGAGACAACTGTCCTACAGAGACTAAATGATGTTGATGTAAAATAGGTTACTGTATGGACTTCAACAATGAGAAAATCAACCAACATTAAAATTTTGCAATATTCTGATTTAGAAAGACTTTGCCTCTAACCTTTAAAATCTGATATTTTTATTATTTAGAGCTCTGTAAAAAATATAAAAAAAGAAAATACCAAAAAATAATATGAAAACAAAATCGTTTGTAAACAGAGTTCTAGATAATAAACATTCAGGATGTTGTAAAAAGTAGGCATATTTAAAATTTTGTTTATTATTATGAATAGTGCACTGTATAATTTGTAAAAATGTATATTGTGAAGTCTTGGAAAATTGTGAAACTTTAGAACTGTGTTTTTTGAGATGTCTTTATTCAGTCTTCAATGATTGTCATGGCAATTGAGGACAATAGATATAGCTCTGTGTAGAAACTGACTTTTTTATATCAAGAAAGATCCAACAAAAGTTTTCAATGATATCTAAAGAGACGAAAGACAGAAATACTAAAAGGTTTTCTATGAGATTGGTGGATTATGTACAGTCAGACAACTGGCACACTCAAGATAAAAGTTAAATAGCTATTAAAATAAAATTATGGACTTGTATAATAACATTAATGAAGACAGATGTTCTATATATAGTGAAGACATGTTCCTACATAATGTTCTATAGTGAAGACATGTTCCTACATAATGTTCTATAGTGAAGACATGTTCATACATAATGTTCTATAGTGAAGACATGTTCATACATAATGTTGTATAGTGAAGACATGTTCCTACATATTGTTCTATAGTGAAGACCTGTTCCTACATAATGTCTTATAGTGAAGACGTATTCCTACATATTGTTCTATAGTGAAGACATGTTCCTACATAATGTTCTATAGAGAAGACATGTTCCTACATAATGTTCTATAGTGAAGACAGATGTTCTATAGCACAAACAGATGTTCCTAAGTTGCAATGAAGTATTCAGAAGACAGACAGAGTTTCCTTTTGCAATGAAATTATCCAGAACACATAGTTGATTAGATTTCCAGTTCATTACATATTCTGACGTTTTCTCAAGAAAAACACAAGGTATTGATAGTTTAAGTCTGTAAAAAGTGTACTATTTGCACAGAATTTAAATTTTGAATTTTAATGGCCAAACCTGTTAATTAGGATTTATTTTATGATTTTTCTTGTTCCTGATTTATGATGCTTCTTGAATATTTAAATTTATGGAAGGTGAATTTTTCGTGGCTAATATATTTTTGATAATGTTTTGTAATTTTTTCTGGTTTTCTTTTTTATTGTTGAACATGAAGAATTATGAAATTTGTACGACTTGATAAGATACATAGTATCGAAAAGAAAAGTTATATCAAAACTGCCAATAAATACTTTTTGACAATTCATTTCCTTAGATGAAGACATTGATATTTCCTCAGTTGAAAACATTGAAAATGCCTATAAAAATAATAGCTTAATATTTCATTAGAATCTATTGTAAGGCAGCATGTTATTTTGATTTGTTGGTTATTTGTAAAATCAGCCAGAACTTTTTACAAAGTAAAAAAATAATAATTGAATGCTAACAAGGGGAAATAGTTTATCAAATTGTGAAAGAAAAATGCAAGTGAGCACTTGAAAAAAGCTTAAAAGTAACACCTGTACCAAGCGTACATCTTACTGCAAGTTAAAACTGAGGGAATTCTTTGCAAAATGAGAATCTTCTTACAATCATTTATTGAATAACACTGATGGAGGGTAATAACAGCCATAGATAATATTGATAGAAAAGGGAAAAAAATGTATTTAACAAAAATGTCATATTAGCTATGACATTAAGATGATGTGGTAGGATTGACAATGGAGAAATCTATATAGCAGTGACCAAATGAAATCAATTACTTTGATTATCTTCTTATTATAAAATAAAAAAAAAGAATACAAAAATCTTAATTAAATAGTTTTAATTTAAATGATTATTTCATGTGAAGTATGTGACTGCCAATTCATAAAAATGAATTATTTTTATTCCAGATTTCAATTTTCAACCTGAAAGGAGAAATTCTTAAAATTTATGCTGGACATCTCATATCAAGGATCCATCACAATATTGATATTAGACTTATGAAGAATATTCTGATAAATTAATGGTAAGTGTTTACCTTAAGGAATCTGGTGGGTTGATTGTGATGCATACAATCACCTGAATTAATATGGAATTGGAACCATTGTACAGCACTCTAATAGAAGCCAGCATATGCTTTTAATATTCAAAACAAAAAGAAATATTTTCAAAATACCTAGTAATTTCTTGAAATTGTGTCAATCTGTTTTACAAATTTGATCGGATTAATAATAATATTCAAAACAAAAGTCAATTTTCAAAATGCCTAGTAGTTTCTTGTAATTCTGTCATTCTGTTTTGCAAATTTGATCGGATTGATAAAAAAGTACTACTGGGGTAAATGTGAGATGTATTGGACCAAATAATAAGCTCAAGTTGTTTCTAATATTGTAAGGGTATTCTCAATGTTTTCAGAATATTGTAAAATTCTTAAAGGTATAAAGTATAAATAAATATTGTTCATGCAGATGATCCAAAATACTAAGACATATTTTCTGTGTTTCAGATGTACGACAAATCGTGCTACAAGTATCATACCAGCAGAATTATTTGATGGGAGTAAAACATAGGAGCAGGATCTCACCTCATACAAGGTTGGTATTCTTACTTCTTAGCGAATTAATTATCTGTCCATCTGATGTCACAATGTTCTAATAAAAAGAAGATGTGGTTTGATTGCCGATGAGACAAATCTCCACCAGAGACCAAATGATGTTTAAGTTTACAAATATATCTTTCTCGGTTGGCAATGTGACAGAGCTGCTTAAAAACTGTTTCACTCAGTCAACTTATGAACATGATGTACTGGAAATAACCAGTTGATTAAAGTAACTACTTTTATTGTTGTTCCTCATCATAACAGTTGCTGTAGAGTATTCACCTATGAACTGAAATGTTTATACTTAATAACAATGTCAAGATGACCCCTATGGTCAACTTGAACATTATATGTGCAATAATGGTAACATGACTCCAACTGGAGGTATCAGCTGTATTAAATAAAGAGACCAAATAGGAAAATTTTATGAAAAGATTATCAGACGTCAAAAGAACGAAATAATTGTCAATGTATTTTGGTTATTTTTAGTTTTTGTCCGTATACCTCACTTTTTTGTATTCATATCTGAAATTAGAACAAAACGAGGCTGTTTTGAGAATTTTTAATCTAAGCCTGCTTGAGGGACCTAATCGGGGAAAATATTTCTATGGTAGTGACATTAAGTTTTCAGAATAGTACTGAACTGCTCTCCGTTATTGCTGTAAAACCTTTTTGTTCAAAATTCAAGTGCTGTTCCCATATTCTTTTGAAATTTTTGTTATCCAATTGAATTAACTAATTAAATTGTTGTTTGTAGTGAGGAGGAACAATTGAACTGATGAACTTGGAAACATCTGAAAGGTATACATAAGAAAAACAGACCACCTAGAATAAGGAAAGAGAAAGATTAACTCGTAGAGTAAAGGGTAGACGAAACTATCAACACTTTGAAATTAATAAGAGCAATAATCAACATAACAGCTGCTTCATCACCATCTCAGAGGTTAGGTCTCTAACTGACTCAACTGATGAACTTATGACAAGCTTAACAGATTATCAGCATAGTTGAACAATGAACACTTCAGAGACAAAATATTCTTGGCAATTAAAATATATGACTGAAATTTCATAATTGTATATGGTCAGTGGGAGAGAGAGAAAGATGTAGAATGGTCAGAGTGGGAGAGGGAGAACACTTATGATGATGAGTGGGGAGAAATAAAGAACAATTATTGCAACTGGTAAATTTGTCTTCAACCAAACTCATGGCTTGTGTTGATGTGTCTACCTTAGACATCTGATATTTTTATTATCTAGAGCTCTGTTTAAAAAAAAGATGTAAAAAATAATATGAAAACTAAACTTAAACAGTTCTAGATAATAAAAATTAAGGGTGGTGTAAAAAGTGGGCATATTTTAAATTTTCTTTTTTTCACCAATGTATTTATGAAATTTAAAACTTTAAAGTCAGAATGTTTAATTGGACGTACAATTGTTTTGATTTTAGATATTTGGAGACAAAACCTATTCTTCTCCATTTGTTACACTCTAAAAGTGTCATTTATTTGCAATATTCTTATTTTGATTGTCTTTGCTTATACCTCTAACCTTAGACATCCAATATTTTTATTATCTAGAGCTCTGTAAAAAAAATAACAAAATTGTAAATAGAGTTCTAGATAATAAACATTAAGGGTGGTGTAAAAAGTGGTTATATTTTTTATATTTTGAATTCTCCCCCTCCCCAATATATTTACGAAATTAAATACAAGAGATATTTATTGGTAAATGATTTGTGTTGGATAAGTTTTTTCCTTTCATTAGTGTATTTTAAAAAATGTTTTTCTCAAGCTGTATATTTTTTTTGGGTATTGAAAATGGCTTTGAAGTTAATATGTTTAATTGGAAGCAGAATTTTTTTATTATTAGATATTGGAGACAAAACGTATCTTCTCTGTATATTTCACCTTAACAGTGTCTTAGATTTGCAATGTCTTTGCTTATACCTCTAAGTTCTAACCTTAGACATCCAATATTTTTATTATCTAGAGCTCTGTAAAAAAAAAAAAAAAAAAAAATAATATGAAAACAAAATTTCAGAGTTCTAGATAATAAACATTAAGGGTGGTGTAAAAAGTGGGTATATTTTGAATTCTTAAATGGCCTTAAAGTTTGAATGTTTAACTGGAAGTAGAATTCTTTCGATTTTAGATGTTTTGAGATAAAACCTATCATCTCGGTATATATTTATACTGTGTATAACAATGTCTTAAATTCTGCAATATTGTGATTTTGAATGTCTTTGTTAACTCTAACTTTTAAGGACGTTAAGCAACCAACAATCAATCAATCTAACTTTTAACATTAGAATTCCATTCAGTATTAAAATAATATGTGATACAAATTTTTCTTGTTATTTTTTGTTATTAAGAATATTTGTATTAAATGGTTTTGTCTCACCTGCCACAAAAACTTCAGAATGCAAGACATTGGGATCTGGCGACGGCAGAAACTATTTGTATTAAGCTTTATATTTCAGAAATTGATAGGCTTGGAGGATTTAATCATACGATTGATACAGACAGATGCCATATGTTTGAAAGTTTCCGTCTGTCACATGTCTGTTGTCCTTGATTTTATTTTCATGGTTCAGCAACTGCTTAAAAAAAGATTTTTTTTTATTTGAATTTCTCAATGATGAGTAATAGGATTTGATATGGGTCATTGCAATGTCTATATGTTCTTCAGACAGGGTTCACCTGACCTCAACCTCATTGATCAAGGTGAAAGTCACATGTTTTGATCTGCTTCCCAGATACTGTAAGCAGAAGTTCAACTTCATTTGGTGTATGGAATGATTGTAATGTGTACATGTCAGTCTGGCAGGTTTTATCTGACCTTGACCTCATTTTCTTTGTCTGAATGTTAAGTTTTCCTGGTTAATATGAAAATAAGGAGAGATGGTATGATTGTCAATGAGACAACTATCAACTAAAGTTCAAATGAAGTGGGTGTAAGCATTATAGGCAATAGTACAGCCTTCAGCAGTGAGAAAAACCCATACCATGTAGTCTGCTTTAAAAGGCCCTGACATGAAAAATATGAAACAATTCAAACGACGTAATTTATAACAAAACTATTTGTGAAAAACAAATATGAGACATGAACCAACAACAGCCATAGACTACAGGTTCCTGACTTCGTCACAGGCACTTAAAGAATGTGGCAGGGTTTAACAAGTGCTCAACCTTCCTCTAACCTGGGAAAGTCTAAGGAAGAGAGCTTTAATTGTTTTTCGTTATCTCAGTCACAGTGAGGCCTTCAACACAGAGCAAACACAAATTGCCTCACTTGCACTGCAAGTTTAAGATAACACCTAGCAGCGGTTTGAATGGAATACATTGCAAGATGCATTCCACTATCATTTCTGGTATAACTGTACCGACAGCATTTGCCAAATCATACCCTGTTCTAACCAGAAAACATTGAAAAATGTACCCTGTTCTAAACAGAAATATTGAAAAACATACCCTGTTCTAGACACGCTCAAGAAAATGTACCGGTAGAATAGATGCTGTCCTAGACCCGGGTTCTAGACTGTATCTTAAACAGTTAAATAAGCGATCCTGGTCTAGACAAATACTTTGTTTAAAAAAAGGCCCTGTAATAGCCTGTTCTCACCAGGAAGGCATGAAAAAGCGACCCTTTTCTAACCAGCAGGACATGAAAAGGGACCCTGTACTAACCAACAGGGCATGAAAAAGCGACCCTGTTTTGCTCGATCCACACTCGTACCACTAGAAATATATGAAGTAACATCCCCTCCCCCCCCCCCCCCCCCCCCCCCCCGCCCCGGGTGTTTGTAATGATTGTAAGGTGTCTTTCTGGCTTGGTTTATCTGAACATGACCCAAAAGTATCAGCATAAAATAAATTATAAATAGTATTTTTAAAGCAGGCCAGACATTTCAGATGTTCACTCCTCTTGTTTTTGAATTTTTGTCAGATATTCGGAATCCTCTGGTTTTATCCATGTAGTGCCATTAAAACATTTTGCCCACTAAGCCGTACTTTTCTTTTCATAATTTTATAACATATAGTTTACAAAACCATATTTGAAAATCTTGTAAAATCCTTGTTATTTTCTCAAAGTTTTTATGTAAAACAATTCAAATGAGAAAAACTAACGGCCTAATTTATGTACAAAAAATGAACAAATAACAAATATGTAACATATAAACAAACGACAACCACTGAATTACAGGCTCCTGACTTGGGACAGGCACTTACCTACAGAATGTGGCTGGGTTAAACATGTTAGAGGGATCCCAGCCCTCCCTCTAACCTGGGACAGTGGTGTAACAGTACAATATAAGAACGAACTATAAAAATCAGTTGAAAGAGGCTTAACTCATCAGATGGATAAAATACAAATACAATGGATGTGGCCGGGTAGTTGTACATCCAAACAACAAAGAGACACTAAGTACAGATCTGAGAGTACTCGCAGTTTACATGTATTAGTTAGTGATTAGGTCGATCAGTTTATGGGGAACCACTTATGCAGTTGTATTAGCATTGGCACATCTCATTACCATGGAGATAATTTGGCCCCGCCCCCTCAGTCAAGGTCTATTGACTTTGAAACTTTGCTTAGTCTACATGTATCAGTTAGTGATTAGGTCAGTTTATGGGGAACCACTAGTGGTAGGTCAATGATATTTGGTATGCAGTTGTATAAGCATTGGCATATCTCATTTCTATAGAGATTATTTGGCCCCGCCCCCTCATTCATGGTCTATTGATTTTGAAACTTTTGCTTAGTTTTCATGTATTAGTATGTGATTAGGTCAGTTTAAGGGGAACTGTTAGTGGTAGGTCAGTGATAATTGGTATGCAGTTGTATTATTAAATGCATTAGCACATCTCATTTCCATGGAGAATATTTGGTCTTTACCCCTCAGTCATGCTTTATTGACTTTGAAACTTTTGCTTAGTTTACAAGTTACTATTTGTGTTTAGGTAAAAAATTGGTTTTAAGGGAACGACTTTATGAAAAGTCAATGGTATTTGGTTTGCAGTTGTATTAGCATTGGCATATCTCATTTCCATTGATTATAAAAAAAGCTTCTGTCCAAGTTATCAAAATATTTAAACTTTAACCACAGAGTGTCACTGTGAATGTAATGTTAACTGGCAGAAAAATATGTCATTTTATATTAAGTAAAATTCGGATAAACAGGATTTTTTTTACAAAATTTTACTTGTGGATACTATCTTGTGATCGAAAACAAGCTTCTGTCCACGTTATTAAAATATTTAAAACTTTAACCACAGAGTGAAAGTAAAGTTAACTGGCAGAAAAACTAAGTCATTTTATAAGTAAAATACGGATAAACATCATTTTTTTTTTTTACAAAATGTCCTTCTAGATACTATCTTATGATCATAAACAAGCTTCTGTCCAAGTTTCCTGTGTATAATTTGGAGTTTAGTATGACGTCCATTATCACTGAACTAGTAGAGGCGGATCCAGCCATTTATAAAAGAGGGGTTCCAACCTTATGTCCCCATTCAAATGCATTGATCGTCAAAAAAAAGGGGGGGTTCGGACCCACCCCCCCCCCCCCCCCCCCGGATTTGTTTAGGGGCCAGCTGAAGGATGCCTCCGGGTGCGGGAGTTTCTCGCTGCATTGAAGACCCATTGGTGACATTCGGCTGTTGTCTGCTCTATGGTCGGGTTGTTGTCTCTTTGACACATTCCCCATTTCCATTCTCAATTTTATTCTCAGAATAAGGGACCACTATATTACCAGTTATAAGACCCCAATATACAATGATTTTCATTTTCTACCGAAGATTAGCTGTCAAGAAGCTAACATTCCAATTTTCAACAACAATTAACAGCAAATACATTCTCACAATAACAGATAACAAAAAAGAAAATATTCCTATAACAGCTAACAATGAATATGACAATAACAGCTAACAGCAAATACAATTTCAGAATAACAGATAACAAAGAATTAAATTGCCCCATAACAGCATAACAGTTAAACCCCTTGCCACCCCCCCCCCCCCCCCCCCCCCCCCCCCCATTTTATTTCAATACTTTATGCATTAAATCTTTTCTCTTAAATTTATTTCTCTTTTTCTTCTATCTTGTAGACATGTGATATACTGTTAACAACATGTCTACGAAAATTAATAACCAAAAAGAAAAGATGTAAATTCTTTCTGTTTCCGTTTTCCGATCCGTATTCTGTTTCCGCCTTTTAGCAACACCCGATCAGCGGTGTGCTCGATAATTTAGGTGTGAAAAAAAAATAAGCATACTTTGGGAAATTGTAACATGCTAAGGACATTTTAGAACTTTCAGAAAATTGGTGACCCGAAAGATCTTTCGAGACTCTCTCATAAGAAAAACGCTTTTGTTTTCGTTCACTGGATATCCCACTGACGTAAGTGTTATTTTTGTTATTTGGATGTTTAGTGCAGTTTTAATTGTTAATGAAAAATGACAAAATGTTCATCTGATATTATAAAATGAAAATAAAAATATTTAGAATTCACAACAACAAACGAATTCCAAAATGTAAATCGACAAAATCGGGTAATTAACGAGGGGTCTGATAGGGCCGTAAATTGCCTGTCTTGTAAGGGGAGGCAGCTGAGTTTTGCCGAGCGGAGCTAGTCGAAAATTTTTTTTTGAACCATTTTAAGCAGAAAATGGTATTTTTTCGTGCCTTTTCCCTGTATGCAATGTGCCTCCTAAAAATTCACCACTTGTTAAATTTTTGTTATATTTCAATAAATAAGCTCCTGGAATATATTGAAAATAGTTATAAACCAGAGTTAGATTACGTGTGCCGGTAAAGTAAGATTTCTTACGCTTCATCCTGCTTTATGACTCTTCACAAGCTATTTTTACTTATGTTTAGGGAAACAATTTACAAACTTAAAATGAAAGGCCCCCTAAAGTTGAGCCTTTTTTGTGGTTTATCATGCTTTTTTGGCTGTCCCAATTGAGCTATTTTGACTTCGTTTCAGAGACACAATTTTCAAACCTTAAAATGAAAATGCATACTTAATAACTCATAACTTTTAATTATCAAATTCAAATTATTATAACGTAACACTTTTTGTCTACACTGACAATTTTATTTGGTTAGGCTTTGTCAATTGCTAAGGGGATTTTTCTGTGCCCGGACGAACCCCATCTCTTTAGCACTTCTATGCATTCAATATTGCCAACATTGTCATTTCTATGTGAAGCATAGCCAGACCACGTAATCTGCTTTCCGTCATTGTTGCCCTGTTCCATGATTTAAGGCGCCGTAGCGCAGAAAACCATCTCTCACAAATGCAGGACCCAACTGGCAAGGCTAACAGAAGCAATAGTATT